AAGGTTTATTTGGCTCATGATTCTGCTGGCTGAAATATTGGACATCTGGTAAAAGCCTCAGGCTGCTTACACTCATGGCCGGAGGTGAAGGAGAGCCAGAATGTGCAGAAATCAAATGGCAAGAGAGGAATCAAGGTTAGGGGGAGGTGCCAGGCTCTTTTTGACAACCAGCTCTGACGGGAACTAATAAGAGTAAGAAGTCACTCGATGCTCCCCTCCACAAGGAGAGGAGGGCATTAATCTGGTCATGACAGATCTACCCCCATGATCCAAATACCTCCCATAGGACCCCACCTCAAACACTGGAGATCAAATTGCAACATGAGGTGTGTGAGGACAAAGATGGCAATCAGTAGGACTCAGAAATTCCCATTTTTCTCAAGGAGTTACCCTCTGCTACTATCATTGTTTATTTTTATGGTCAAATTGTCCCAGAATTGGCCAGTGGAAGCCCCTTCAACTTGACTTCAGTGATCATTTGACACCTATCTAAAATTCCTTGAGCATGGTTTTTGCTTTCAGAGTCTATCTCCGCACTGTACAAAGGAAGCAATGATGCCCACTTCAGAGAACATGGCTTTGAGGATTTGAAGAGAAAAATCCTGAAAATAAAAACTACATATGGCATGTAGCATCTTATAAGCCTTCAATAAATGTTAGTTTCCCATTCCAACTTTGCCTCCTTCATTCTATCATTGCGATGCTTCTGATATTAACATAATAGCATGACTAACAGAGAGAATACTTGGAAATGTGACAGTAAGCAGAAATAAGCCCACATTTCCATTATATGTGAGCAACAGGATCACTGCTGTGTGGGGGAGGGTGTTGTGGGATGGAGCTGGAAAAGAGGAAAAGCATCATTGCACAACATCCTGTTAACTGAGAGGGGATAGGAAAGACATTATATCTCCTCCACTTCACTTGCTTTCCCATTCCTTTACTTCCCTCTGATATGGTTTGGATATTTGTCCCCTCTAAATCTCATGTTGAAATGTGATCCCCATTGTTGGGGGTGAGGCCTAGTGGGATGTGTTTGGGTCGTTGGGGTGCATCCCTTATGAATGACTTGGTGCCATTCTGTTGAAAAGATCTTTGTACCCCTTCCTCTCTCTCCTGGCATGTGACATGCCTACTCCCTCTTTGCTTTCTGCCTTGATTGGAGGCTCCTTGAAGCCCCCACTAGAAGCAGATGCTGGCACCATGCTTCTTGTACAAACTTCAGAACTGTGAGCCAAGTAAACCTCTTTTCTTTATAAATTACCCAACCACAGGCATTTCCTTTATAGCAGCACAAAACAGACTAATATCCTCTCTATTCCATATGCTTTATTATCCCCTTCCTTTTCCTTCTGGTGTAACATCAGAGAAGGGTATGCACTCTGTGCCCCAGAACCAGAAGCTGGTGGAGAAGAACCAAGTGTGATGTTTAATCTGCTAGACAAGTTACTAGAATAAGACTAAAGAGATCAGGGTCCCATCACGGGGACACTTCAGGTAAATTACTACTGTTCCATAAGCCTGGTCTATACAACAGGATGACAATACCCAATCTTCCCAGCTACCAGGAATATTCTGGAGTTTAAGTATGATCCCGTGTGGGGAAATCAATCTGTGGTCTTAGAAGGAAGGGAAGGACCAGTGTACTTTAGAGTAATTACATTAACAGAAACACTCCACATGGCCCAGAACCCTGCATGGTCATCATTAAATTAATGGTACTGTAATATGAACTATTGAGGTCAGGATTTTTCCAAGTGTGGTCCATGGACAACTTCAAAATCATCAGAGGTTGCTTGTTAAAATAACAGGTATATGGATCTACCATAACTCTGAATTTAAACCCTGGAAGTGGGTTGGAAATTGAGTTATTTTGAGTTTGAGTTATTTCTCCAGTTGGTTCTGGTACCCATCCAAGTTTGAAAAGCACTGCTGTGGATTCGCAACAAGGTTCATTAGAATCTTGAATCCTTTGATGTCTAATTTCATTGTCAGTTGTTCCTGCTACTCAGCTTTAAATATGTGTCTTCTCTGGTCTGTCAAATAGGTAATTAAGTAATTTTGATTCAGTGATTTATATGTGAAGCACTGAATTAGGCACTGGGAAAACAGCACAGAAAACAAGACAGGCAGAGTCCCTGGAGTTTTTCTAGTTTGGTAAAACTAGTAGTAAGACATTATGGAGCTTTTCCACTTATCAAAAGGGCAATAAACTGGGCAATTTCATATGAGAATTTGTGCTTTGAACAAATCCATTTTGTCTGTTTCCAAATGGATTTGAACAGAATTCTGCAAATTTTTCACTTAAGAGACATGAAATTTCCTTTGTGTTGAAAATTGTCACTTTTGCTATGTTAAATTTTGTGTGTTTGTCTTTTCCCCAGTTTTCTTAAATACTTTACCCAGTGACATTTGATGTTTTTGATATCCCTCTCAAATAAACCTTCCTTTACCTTTATGTATAAATTCTTCTGTGCTTTTTAACCCATTCGTTTCTAGTTTAACCTTTAACTATTCTTTCTGGCTGCATTCTTTTAGTTTACTTTGTGATCCTTTATTTGGCATTTTGAATTGAACGTTTAATTCATTTATGTTCATTTTTATAGATTTAGGTATTTAGTGCATAAAAATATTCTCTGACCACTGCTCTAGCCGCAGATGTTTTCATTTTCATTACTTTCATTGCATTTCACAATTTTAATCTATATTGGCATTTGGACCCTAAGCCCAAGCCTCTGACTTTTCATATATCTCATTGCCGCTTCTGTAGCTATACTTTACAAAATTATATTTTTGTTGTGTGACTAGGTACAAAATATTAATAAGTTACATATTCCTAGTGAATTTTAGCCTTTAGTATTATCAGATGTGCTTTTTGGTCTTTTAAAATCCATTTTTTCCTCAATTCTGCCCTCTTAACAGTCAAGATTGTAACCCCTGACTTCATTTACAATTGCTTGGTATAGGTTTGCTTATTTTAAAGTTTTTAACATAACTGAATACCTTTGTTTAAGTTATGTCTCTTGAATACAAATAGTTTTGGATTTATCATTAATAGGAAATCTGAAAATATTTAACAGGTAAGTTACACCCATTTACATTTTCAATATGGTCGATATATTTGGTCATTTGGGCTCAGTTCTGTTCCATTTTTTTATATATACATATAAATTTTAATTTTACTATGTCTTTCAGTAGGTCATCTATTTTATTTGCTCTGTGTATTTGGTATTGGAAATGATTATTGTTGTCTTCTAGGGGTTTACTTTTATAGTAACGTCTTAGCAAACTTACTTTATATCTTTAACGTGGAAAGAATCCTTCTTGATGAATAGAGAGACAGGCAAAGATATCAACAGATAATTCACATAAAAAGAAATATTATACATTAAATTTTCAAAGTCATGTCAAATTCAATCACTGAAGAAATGCAAGTTTATATCACAGGCAATTATGCTGAATGAAAGAGGCAAGTACTTAAAAATGTGATCTTAATTGTGAAAAACAATACATGAATGTGAAAATGTTTTGTGTATTCGTATATAGTGTGGGTGGGTATTTACTCTTTCTCTCTCTATATATAAGTTGTGTACCCCCATTCCTGCCTCTACTAAGACATATGTGACCCTATAATAGTGTGTTACTCTTTGTGAGCCTGACCTAAATTATTTGTCAAATGGACATATTGATACTTACCTCACAGAGCTGTTGTAAGGAGAAAATGAGTAATGGACAAACCTCCAGAAAGTGTCTAACACATAGTACTGCAACAAATACATGTATTAACCTCTCCTGTGATCTCCCTTTCACAAAAGACATGATTTTAACATGAATATATCCTAGAGATCAATTATTAATAGATAAGAAATAGCAGGAAGTGGAATGTTTACACATGATAGAAAAACTTTACACTCTTCTTTGTAGGACAAGTTACCTGATCATGGAGTGGAGGAGAAAGCAAGTCATTCCCCCATTACCTTTTATTTGATGTTTTTTCTTATCATCTACTTGGACCTTCTATTTGGACACTGGAATAGCAGCTTCCCATTGAGGCCCAGAGAGGAGACAATACAGAATGACAGAGGATGAAGGTGGGTCTGTTGTATAACACACTGAATTAGGAGACCTAGGTCCCCAATGCCAGATCCATCCTTGTGTACAGGACCATGGAGAGTAACTTCCCCTGTGGTAGCCTCAGGCATTATGGACAACGAAGACTGACATTCCCAATGGTTAGGGATGGGGGTTTTGGAGTCAGAGTGGGTAGAATATTTGGGCATATTTAATTACTGGTTTCATGATCTTTAGAAAATGTTGAGTCTCCAGACAAATGAAACCCATATACATTAAATATGCCTTCATGGATATAAACTGATAGGAATTGTACAAAAATGATACATTTTTCAAAATTAATGAGTGATGGGTATCAGCAATTATTTATCTCTGGACTTTATTAAGCTTTTCATAATTTCTAAATTAGTATAGATCCTTTTAAAAGTTATAATTAAAGCTTATAGAAACAGTGGTTGTTATAAAATAATTCACTTACAAAAAATTAAAAATGATAAACTATAAGAACCTTCTATGTACTAAAAAATATTATATGTACAGTTGAAACTCACATTAAAGTCTTCTCTGAGTGCATTAGCCTCCTTCTTCTCCAGAGGTAATCACTATGCAGTTTGATTTTTCCATTTTTAAGATATTTCTTTATAGTATTATTACACATGTATATATGTATATGTGAAATGCGGTATTGTTTTATAACAGTTTTATCTATAGATGCCTGGCTACCTCATGTAAAAAGAGGAGGGAAGAAACTGAGGAGAACACATACACATGCACATCTCAACAGTAGCAGCTGCCATATATATACCTCCTTGTCCTGTGTACTCTCCTTCAGATTTATTAAAAGAGATACACACATTTTCTTAGTTTATATGCTTTAGGGAATACTAACACATTCTGTAGGTACTATTTTCAATGCCCCCCCTCCTCTTTTTACCTGATGTGTTCAACATCTTAGCATTTCTCTGGAGACAACTTGCCTGAAACAATATCTCAATGTATCCTAAATGTGAAACATCTTCCTATCTGTCTGGGCCTAATTTTTTGTCTTTCATTCAAACTGTTCCCCATTTCCAAATTGTATATTCAGAACCTAATCTAGAACATCCTGATGAAAGAAGACAATGTTTTCTGGCAGTTAGTATTCATATATCCACACTACTGCCCAAATCTCTTGGTTGGTTTAGGGATGCATCTCATTTAGAACTTGAAATGATTTTGTATTATGAGTGCTAGACATGTGTATATTTTTATTTTTTTTTAATTGCATAAGGAATGTGCTTCACAGGTGTTTTAACTGGCATGTGTTGATTGCTCCTGGGTCCCTGGGCTGACTCCAGAGAGGCCTTCCTCCTCTTATATAGAAAAGTGGTTCCACAAGGACATGGACCTAGTGTAATGGTTACCATGACTTCGCCAACCCCCGGCCGACGGCAGGTTTGAAGAGTGACAATGAATACCTGAGTGACGGTGCAGGTCAAGGCAGGAGAAAAAACTCACCCTGTATGATGGCTCAGACATATGGGGACCCAGGAAGAGCTCCTGACTCTCGCTCCAGTGTCCCTCCCACAGACCCACGGTCACCTCTTCCTGGAGCTCCAAGAAGGTCCCAGAGCCCCAGATCATGTACATGCTTGATGGGAACACACAGGGCCCCAACAGAGTACAGGAAAAGCACAATTATTAAGTCAGAAGGGTAAAGATTTTGCCTCCCCAACTACTATATTGCATAGCACACAGGTGGCACTGATTTTTCTACATAATGTAGTTGAATGTGTGTGGTTCCCTTCATCTTACATTCCCAAATACTTAGTAAACCATAGTGATACTATCAAGGTGAAGAAACTATATTGCTGCTAAAGACTGAAATTGTTGGGCTGGGAAGAAAGCAAACATTGGCCTTGCGGATGACGTGACATATGTTTTGCTGGGATCTTGACATAGGTTTCCCCTTGAACTCCTCACAAGGCTTCCCATAGTGAAAGGATCAGGATAGATACACATATATGCATAATAAGAAATAAATTAGCAAACTGGAGAATAAGAACATTGTGTGTAGTGAAGACACACAAAACAATACTATATTTTGTTTAAGAAGCTCTCATATGGAGTAAAAAGATAAAGCAATGCATGGGAATAATAATAATCTCATTCTGGGTAGTGATTATCTCTAAGGGAGAAGGAAGTGGGTTCAATCATGGAGGAGTAACGTTATTTCTTAACTTAGATTAACTTTATACCTATGCTTTGTTTCTGAAATATTTAAATAGCAGATATTTTAGGAGCTAAATTTTTATCATAAATGTATTCCACATTCATCTTTGCAAATATTTAACATTGAGTCAAGTGCAGAAATTAAAAATATTAATACCCAGTAGTCTCATCCTTACTGAAATTCACATTAAGGTGTTTTAACCCACTGGATTTTCTGTACATGCATGTATGCAAATGTAATGGACATATATGTACATTACATTTTACATAATTATTACCATACCATATACAGAGTTTGGCATTCTGGGTTTTTGTTATTTTTGTTTCTGCTTTTATCTGAACTTTTATTTTAAGTGTTAACACATAGATGAATCATTCTGATTAAATGACACAGTATAAGATATGATCTAACTTTGTTTTTTAATGAACTCTTTATCAGCTGACTCATCTCCAAGTTTTGAACAATACAACTGGTTAGAAATGCCATACCTGTAACATATTGAATATTACATATATGGGCCTGCTTATGAGCTTTTTACAGACATCTTATAATCTGTATGTCAAACACTCTATACATCAGTTATAAAAACAAAGGTTCGTGGGACACCATTAACACCTGACAACATAATCCCAACTCCTATCTTCACCCTTTGGATGAGTGGTAGAATAATAACAATAATAATAGTAATAGTAAAATGAACAATAGAAGACACCAACAATTAATTATAGGACACATGGTAGATAAATTATTTGCTCTACATCATGCAGCCAACAAGTAATCATTTCCAGGGTCAAATCCAGGCCCTTCTCACTGCAAAGATCATGTCCCTAACCACTGTTCCTATATTGAGTACTCTTGTGTGTTAGACCAGAAGCCAACAAAGGGAATGGACTCACCCCAAGACCTACGGTCAGTTGATAAGTCTGGAAACTGGGATATAGGTTTGATAACTCCAATCTTTTGTCCAGCTGACCCATTATTGTTCTTGGCTCTTCTGTACTATTTCTTCTTCCTGAGGTGCAATAAGAAATTCCTTCACCATGTCACACTAGGAAGAAAATAAGTGACCAGAAAGTATGTGGAATCAAAGGAATGATGAGATAGGACCAACATTCACGTCGTGCTGCTACATTTCCAGATGCTCTCTGTTTCAAATCTTGTATTTTATGGGGCAGGGGAATTTTCTTTGGGAACCATCAATCTGTCTTCTAAGAATCTATCCTAAAGATATAATTCAAAGAGACAAGAGGCATAAGTACAAGGTCATTCCTGGCAGAAAAATCTGTAATAGCATAAGACTAGAAATGAGATAGATGTCCACCAATAAGGGATTGATTAAATAATCTAGTGTACATATACATCCTGGATTATGGTGTAGGTGTAACAAGCAATGGGAACTCCCCCCTCTCTACTGCTATGTAGTGATTTCCAGAATATACTGTTAAGTGAAAAAAGCAAGGTGCAGAAAAATGTGTCGAGCTGCTGCTGTCCAATATGGTAGGCACTGGCCACACATGTCGATTTAAATTTAAGTTGATTAACTTTAGATTAAACTAAAAATTTTGTTCCTCAGTCACACTCACCACATTTCAGGTGTTCAACTGCCACAATTGCCAGTAGCTATTGTGTTCAATAACATAATACAGAATATTTTCATCTCTGCAGAAATTCTACTGGACTCCATTCATGTGGAATATTTCACCTTTTGCCTATGAAATTGGAGAAGTCTAATATAAACATTATATTTGCTTATATTTTAAAATTTGGAAAGTTAAAACAAAGATTAATAAAAATAACTATCAATAAAAGAATGGGGAGGAGCCCCTCAGGAAGGAAGCCAATCATTCATATTCTCTTAAAAACATAGTATGTGTTTGCTGGATCAATGCACTGAAAAGAACAAGAAATCTTGACCAACTCAATAGTGATAAGTAACTCCAGTCTCCAGATTGAATTCACTAACAACACCACTTCCTACTAAAAGGAACCAGGCTTCTTTGGAGAAATGGCTGATTCCGGGTATCGGTGAGAAGTATACCAGATGACTCTGGACCCAATCATTCTACCAGAAAGCATGTCATAAAAACCAGAAGCCAAGCTAATGGGCTTCCAATTCACAAAGATAGAACAATCTGAACATCAAATAAAATGACTGCAATAGATGAAAACATATCAAATAAGAAATACCTAGAGCTAAGGAAAACAGTCTAAAAGAAAACCAGCATACAACAACAACAACAACAACAAAACAAATTTAATTCACTGCTTATTACTGGAAGATTTTAGGGAAACAACTCATCATTTAGAAATATGGCAATATTGTAAAGAAATCAAGCATTCATTCTACCCCTCCTATGCATAACATACTAACCTACAATTGATGAGGGAAAGTTTCTTTTATAGAAAAGTTCCAGCTAACAAATGCAAAAACATTACAGAATTAGAACATCCAAGATGACAGGTAGCCTGTATACATTTTGCTTACATGGGCTTTTAGCTGTTTATCCAGAGGTCTCAAAGCATAAAAATTAATCTTTTTGTTCTTCACACATATAGCTTTCGCTTCAGCGTGAAAGAGGCTGCACTACTTGTCTGATAGCATTCTGTATCCTTGAACACTGAGAATACCCGCTTTTCCACCCAGACTTCCAGAAAGTTCTATAAGATGGGCTTGCGTCACAGCCCCTCCCTCCTACCTTCCTGCACAGCGTTGTTCAAGTTGCAGTTCAGGCTTCTGTCACAAGGGGGCACCAACATGTCACATTGTCAAACTTCTGGAAGAAGTGTCTGCAAGGAAGAAACAAATACAATGCCTCGCTTAAAATCCAGCTTTTGATCCTACATATAAAATGACTGGTTCTAATTCTGCCTGAAAAAAATCTGATAAGTGTAAAAGAAAACCGAAAATACATATACTGTGGGGCTCCATATAATGAAACATCAGGTAGCTCTCGAGTACCTTGGCAGTTCCTAGCAGGCAAAGGGAAGCACAGGTCAGGGAAGAGGTGACTGAAAAAGGATGGCGGCGCTGGAGCAGGTCTGGGCAGCTGTTCTTTCAAAAACAATGTGAAGTACATTTTAAATAAAAAAAAATCATTATAAAGTACAAAATTCTATCTGTATAACTAAAATAGAAAATAAAAAGGAATTTGAAAATTTTTGAGAAATTATTTCTAATCCATATTCAATCATAGATTTTAGATCCTCTATGTATGAAATATTCATGAACAAGCGAGATAGGTCAATCATATCAAGAGATAATATAAATCCCAGAAAAACAATATAAATTCTAAAAATATGCCATGACATATAAAAAATAAAAGAGGATCATATTTAGTCAGATAAGTCATAAATTATAATGTAGTATATGGCCTCATGTGTAGTAAAACAATATATATATATCAACATGGGTTTATAGGTATGTGTGAGTAAAAAGTTAGTGTATTACATGCAGAGGAAAAATATCTGGAGAATAGATATCAATAAATTGAGAGACTATCTTTGTGCTATGGAGAGGGAAAAGATGGGGACAGATAGAATATTTTTAATATCTAATATACCCTTCAATTATGTTTGATATATCTTAAATAATAAAAAGAATTAACTGGTAGTATGATAAAGTTATTGAGATAACGTTTTGTAAATCAGGAAAATCTGTGGCCCTAGTCACAAAATGATGGCATAGAAATACATTTATTGACCAAGAATCATGTTCATATACTGCTGTGTAAAAATAGCACATTAAAAAGTTTTATTTAATAAATCAGTGTGTGCACATTGGAGATATAAGATTGTGTTATTTTATAAATGTGAGATTCTCTGGTGTTTTAAATGTGGAAACTATATTGTATAAAATGTTGGAAACAAAATAATTGTGAACTGATTACACATATGATATTTATATATTTATTGGTTTGGAAACATTCACAGTATATTTTTTTATGTGTAAAATAAATAGATCAAAACAATTTATTTGATGGTGTGGGTATCTGCATGTTTTTAAGTCTCAACATTCACAATTACATACCAACTCATGAAGCTTTCTGTTTAGTTCACATAGAGGTTGGACTTCTTTCCAGTCCCAGTACTTGAAGATCCCAAGATGGGCATGGATACAGCAGAATAGCCACCAGTGTGTAGAAAATTCCAGAAAGCTTTGGCCTACGCAATGGAATCCATGTACTTCCCTCACCAGCCCCCCCATCTGTTGCCAAGACTGGTTGGGATGTTCACCCCTGCAATTCTGGCTCTGACCACAAGGTGGCATCGTACTCCATCTTCTACAAGTTATTTTCCTCCCAATGACAAGGCATAATTTTTATAAACAAAAACAAAATGGTTCCTTAAAGAAGATAATGAAACAATAAATACAGTGTCACACCAACTCTCTTTGACAAATTGATATGTTTATAAAAAGACTTAAAGGACATATACATAACTTCATATCCTGCTCACTCCTGTATCTACATATAATTAATTTATTAAATATATATGGGGTGTCTACTGTGTGTCAGGCACTGTCTCTACAATTCTATATGTGCATCCAACACCTTACCTCCTGGTCTCTATACCTGTATAACTGGAAATGTCCACAATGGAGTAACGTGAATGTTAGTGCCCACTTCATGGCGTGTGACCTCAAATAGACTCCACTTAAACCAAATTTAGTCCAGCTTATACCCTGAGACCCAGAAACTCAGCATCTAAACACGGAATTTTGCAGCTACGTGAGGAGAGGTTGAACTTTACCTTGACAAACTGAGGCACCTATGGCTAACTGGCTACTTTCTCCCGACAGGACCTCACTCAAAGATACAGAGTAAAGGATGAGGTCACCCTTACTGCAGTTTCAGTCTTGGTTCTTCTCAGGTGTGCAGAAGCATAGGTTTACTTTTTCCTTTAGCCCTTTGCTAGGTCATAGCGGTGAATTTCTGAACTGGTTTTGTGCTTGTCTTTTCCCTAGGAGGGAGATCCCTTCCATTTAGTCTTCTGAGGTGACATGGAGTTTCTGCTTCATGTTAAGACCTCCTCTCCCAGTTGGGGGACCCAGATCCACAAGAGATGGAAAAGAGCAGAGGCTAAATTCTCAAAGACAAGCACAGGACTGGGGCCCCTGTACAAACATCTAGTTCTGCTGATTTAATGAAATGTTTTTCAAACATTTTTCACATGATGTTCACCTACCCTCAGTGTTTTACTTAGATGGCCTATGAGAAAATAGGCATTCTCATATACTATTGGAGGTAACATCAAAAACACAGGTATTCATTCTTGGAACCAGCAATCTCTTTTCTAAGAATCTTTCCCACTGAAACTATGCAAAATGACAAAAGCATATGTACAAGGCTATTTATGATAGAAAAGTAATAACAGTAGAGACTAGTAACATGACAGATGCCCAGTAGTGGGCTGATTGAGTAATCTAAGGTACATCTACATCCTGGAGTACTATGCAGGTATACAAAACAAGGAGGATTCCCTTTGTACTGCTATGAGTAATCTCCAGGACATATTGTAAAATGAAAAACAAGGACCAGAAAAATGTGTAGAGAAGCTGCTTCCATTATAGTAGCCACTACAGACATGTGGCAATTTAAATTAAAATAATTATGTTTTGGGGGGCCATTTTTTTGAGACAAGGTCTCACTCTGTTGCCCAGACTGGAGTGCAGTGGTGAAATCACAGCTCACTGCAACCTCGAACTCCCGGGCTCAAGTGATCCTCTTGCCTCAGCCTCCAGAGTAGCTGGATCTATACGTGTGTACCATCATGCCCAGCTGATTTTAAATTATTCATATAGTACCACATATACTCACCAGCAAACTGGTATTAACTGAGTAGCACCTAAGTGAACACATAGGTACTACAGTAATTGGGTACTGGGCAGGGGGGAGGGGGGCGGGTATATACATACATAATGAGTGAGATGTGCACCATCTGGGGGATGGTCACGCTGGAAACTCAGATTTGTGGGGGGAGGGGGGAAAGGGCATTTTTTGAAACCTTAAAATTTGTACCCCCATAATATGCCGAAATAAAAAAAAAATAAAGAAAAAAAAAAAAAGAACACCAGAGTCATGCACAAGAATGGTCTGGTTGGGGTGCTCCTGAAAAAAAATTATTCATATAAATTTAGTTCTTCAGTTGCACTTATCAGGTTTCATATCCTCAATAGCCACAAGTAGCTAGTGGCTACCATGTTTACACAGTTCAGATATAGAACATTTCCATTTCCACTGAAATTTCTATTGGAGAGGTAATAATATAATAAATAATATATATGTATTATATCTGCTTATATTTTTCAAACTTGGAGGATAATAGCAAAAACTGATAAAAATGATTACCTATAATGGGACAGAGGAACAGCCTAGGATGGAAGCAGATGATACAAATATAAAAATATATAGATAATACATATATCCTGGTTTCATGCACTGAAAAGGACAGGAAACAATGACCAACCCAGTAGCAAGGAGCAACTCAAGTATTCAGACTGAATCCTCTTAAAACATGTCCCACTAAAAGGAACCAGGCTCCCTTGGAAAATGGACGATTCCAGGTCTGGGGTCAGGATTGTATAAGATGAACCTGGACTAATCCATCATGCCAGATAGCTTGTGAAAAAGAGTCAGAAGTCAACCTAAACGGGCTCCTACTGGAAAAAGAAAATGAAAAAGATTAATGCTTGGAATGAATTAAAACACATCAAATATATAAACATCTATGAGTCCATGAGGACACTACCAAAAATCAAAACACAAACAAAACAAGCTCACTGCTCACCTTTGAGAACCTAGGGAAACAACTTATTGTTTTGAAAGTGGAAATACTGCAAAAAACTCACCTAATCATTCATTCTACCTTTCCTGTGCATACCAAATCTCAGTAAAACCTAATGGTTGAGGGGAAGTTTATACAAGAATTCCAGCTGATGAATATAGAAGAAATCAGAATGAGAATGTTACCATTTTTGTAATCTTTAATGAAATTCAGATACAGGTAAGAACACTCAGAGACTGCAGAAAACATGAAGTGAAGGTGAACGGGAAATTTTATAAAGGACAGATCAGGTTGATAACACTAGAACCCCGTGATCAATGTCAATGTCACAGGAGAGACAAGCAGATCCAATGAGCCTCCTGGTATAACATTGGAAGAATAAACACCACCATACCTGAGATACTGTTGTCAAACTACCTGAATCTTAACAAGCTTCTAAATCTAATTACCAATTTCAAGGAAACCTGAGTGGCCAAAGGAACTTACAAAACAAGATAAAGACACCATCAGCAATATTCAAAATGCAAATTCCATAAGTCAACACTTCAGTTTCTTAAGCAAATAAATAAAAAGGTTAAAAAAGAAGAGTACAGACCTTCTTTGATTAATAGAGATTTAGCACTTCAAAGAGAGCTAAATTAAGGAGAAATTGAAATTAAATAGCACACACCCATAAAAAGAAAAGAAATAAAAAAGATGGAAAACTGTAGGTGTTGGTAAGGATGTGGAACAGTGGAACTCTCAGTGCTGCTAGTGAGAATACAGACTGGAACAACCACTTTGATAAACTGCTTGGCAGTATCTACTGAGCTGAGCATACACATACCCTACGACTTAAAAATGGCACTCTTTGATCCATACCCAAGAGAAATTAAAGTAAATGTTCATCCAAAAATATGTACAAGAATGTTCATAGCACCATCATTCATAATAAGTCAAAAATTGAAAAATATGTAAATCTGCAAGAGGGAGATACATATTGTAAAATATCCACACAATGTAATACTTTATACCAATTAGAAGCAACAATCTACAACTATAAACAACAATAATGTAAATCGCACACACATTATGTTGATTGAAAGGGGCCAGATACAAAAGACTGCATTCCATATGATTCTAGAAATTTTTCTTCTAACCTCTCAATAGATTTGGGGTAAGGAGAAGAAAATCAATATGCCATTTCCATTTGTTTGAATGTACTGTCTTTTTATATTACCTGCAGGTTAACCTCAGAGAAGCATATATCCTATGAGCCCTTGAAAAGTCATTCATTATACATAGGAAAAAGACTAATGCCATGTCTTATGGACAGAGAACTGGGTGAGAGACAGGAGACATACTTGGACCACAGTGCCAGCTCTAACTCACTAACTCTAGGTGACACTGGGTAAGTCACCACACTTCATCTGCTTCACACATCAATAAAGGTCAGACCAGCCCTACCTCCCAACCAATGAAGCCTAGAGCATAGGACAATATGACTTCCATCTGGAGAAGCACCTCTGAGTTCCTACAAAGGAAAATAATTCACCATAGAAGTCCAAGGAATTATCTAAACAGCCAAGTTGTCTAATGCATATTAACTATGATGATTATTACCTTTTAAAAATAATTACTATTCTTTCATTTCACAATTATTACCTTTTGATTTTTTTAAATAAATACTATTTATTTCTTAAATAAATACTTAAGTAAATAAATAAATACTTAAATAAATTTAAGCAATAAATTATTTCTTAAATAAATACTATTTGGTATGTCACACAATGGTTACTGAAGGATATGTCTTCCACCAAAGACATAGGGCCCTGCTACCCTGGGCTGACAGGGTTCAACACATGCCTGTTTCTTAAGTGTATTGGTTAGGAGTATGGGCTCTGTGTGACTTTTAATACTTCACCTTACAGTTGCTCAAATGCTTCATCTGTCCAACATGGATTGTGTAGTACTTACTGTAGAAGACAAAACATTTTTAAACAAATATTGCTTTGTGTTTTGATTTTATAAGCATAAATGGCCAGGAACCCCATTATTTAAAAAAAAATTCTATTGCAGAGATGTTGGAACACCTAGCTCTCTGTGACCTTGGGAGATTAAATGAAATTCTCTGTGCCTTAGTTTCCTCTCCTGTAAATGGGGGAAACAATCATCCCTACATCACGGGTTGTTGCTTTGAGAATTATTTTAGTTAATAAATGAAAATCAGGCCAGGCACGGTGGCTCACGCCTGTAATCCTAGCACTCTGGGAGGCTGAGGTGAGAGGATGGCTCAAGGTCAGGAGTTTGAAACCAGCCTGAGCAAGAGCGAGATCCAGTCTCAACTAAAAATAGAAAGAAATTAATTGGACAACTAAATACATATAGAAAAAATTAGCTGGGCATGGTGGCGCATGCCTGTAGTCCCAGCTACTCAGGCTGGGACAGGCTGAGGCAGAAGGATTGCTTGAGCCCGGGAATGTGAGGTTGCTGTGAGCTAGGCTGACGCCACAGCACTCTAGCCCAGGCAACAGAGTGAGACTCTGTCTTGAAAAAAAAAAAAAAAAGAAAAGAAAAGAAAATCCTTAGAACATTGGTAGGCACAGAGTAAAAAGATCAGTAACACCGGCTATTTTATATATACATGCAAGTTGAGATTTTTTCAGTTTGCATGTGTCTTTAATGAAGCTTAACACTCCAACAGCTAAATCCCAGTCATCGAATGATACATTTTTAAAATCACCAATTTTCACTACAACCACTGTTGGATGATGTAACAATCCAGAGAATATCTCAAAAGCACTCAGAGCAACTGATCTCAGAAACATTATTTCTCCACATGGCCAACAAAACGACGAGGGGTCATCCCTGACTCTGCCTTATCCCCACACACCTGACACGCACGGCCACTGCAGGTGCCACCTGTCCTACCTCCAAACACACCCTGTCCAGCTTCACCCCTCCCTCTGTGCACGGCTGCAGCCCTGGACCATCCACCCACGTCCCTCCCCTGGACTTCTGCAACATTCTCCTAATGGTTATCTCCACTCCCCACCTTATTCCTCCCCAGTCCACCCTCCACACAGTAGCCAAAGTCACCTTCTGACAACATAAACCAGATCACGTCACTCCCATACCCTAACCTCTGCACTCAGAATAAAACCCCAACTCCTTACATGGCACAAACCATGTGGCTGGCTCCTGTCTGCCCTTTGAACGTCATCTCTTACCAGTCTGCATGTTGTCTGCCAGGCTCCAGCCACCCCGGCTTATCCTCTGTTCCTGGAACAACTGGTACCCACTCACAGTGCAGGGACACTGACAAAATGGCCTGTCCATGCCTGGCTTTTTCTCGTCATGAAGAAGAGCTTCACTGATAAACCTACCACTAATAGTCCCTGTTCTGGTCATTTTCTACTCTATTTACATGTTTATTTTCTCTAAAGTACAAATCCCCATATGAAATGACTCAGCTTACTCATTTGTTTACCTGCTTATTGACATTTTCCCCAAACTAGAATAATAGCTCCAGGGACCTTACCTGTCTTGTTCTCTGTGCTCTTTCCCCAGTGCCTAGTTTAGTGCCTCACTTACAAATAACTGAATAAATATTACTTAATTGAAGGAATCATTACCAGTTTGACACACCAGAGAAGATACCAATATTGAAAGCTGAGTAGCAGGAGCAACTGACAATCAAATTAGACATCAAAGGATTCAAAATTTTAATAAGCCTTGTTGTAAATCCACAGCACTGCTTTTCAAACTTGGATAAGTACCAGAATCAACTGGAGAAATTACTCAAAATGTAGACACCTCATACCCCATAGCACTGATTTTGATTCAGCTGAGTAAGGATGGAACCAAATACCTGCTATTTTAACAAGCAATTCCTGACAATTTTCATGAAGTGATCTATGGACCACACTTCAAAAAGTCCAGACCTAAACAGCTTATATTTAAGTGCAATTAATTTAATGCCTGGATGAAGAGTTCTTGCACATCTGCAGTGTCTCTGTTAATGTAATTACTCAAAAGTCCACTGACTGGTCTTTCTCTTCCACCTAAGCCCACAGATTGCTTTCCCCACATGAGATCACAACTAAACTCCAGAATATTCCTAGTGGTTAGGAGGACTGGGTATTATTATCCTTTTGTATTGATGAGGCTGGTGGAAGGTTAGTGACTTACCTAAAGTGTCCCCACTATGAGACCTTGATTTCTTCATTTTTGCTCCAGTAACCAGTCTAGCAGGCTCCACATCACACTTCGTTCTTCTGTATCAGCTCTATGCTCTGAGGCAGAGTCCACACCCTTCTCTGATATTACACTAGAAGGGGGAGTAAGGGGATAAGAAAGCACATAGAATAAGGAGGGAAGTAAGAGGCTGGGAAAGCACACGAAACGCAGGGGATGGGGGGTGATGATGTCTTGCCTTTCCCCTCTCAGTTAACTGGAAACTGTGCAGTGATGTTTCTTTCTCCCAGCTCCAATCCCCAACACAGCAGTGACACTGAAGCTCACACATAACGAAAATGTGGGCTCATCCCTGTTTGATGTTACATTTCCAAGTATCTTCCCTGCAGTCATGCTATTATGTTAATGTCAGAGGCATCACATTGATAGAATGAAGGAGGCAATGTTGGAATGGGGAAATAACACTTGCTAAGGGACTACAAGATGTCACAAGCTGTAGATTGTTATTTTCAGATTTTTCCTCTTTAAGTCCTCAGAGCAATGCTCTGAAGTGACATCATTACTTTCTTTCTACACATGAGGAGATGGTCAGGCTCAGAAAGCCAAGTACATGCTCAAGGAATTCTAGGAGGTGTCAAAGGGACACTAAGGCCAACTTGAAGGTCGTTCCACTATCCAATTCCGGAAAAATTTGAGCATCAATATATGGAATGATAGTAACAAGTAATAACAGAGTGTTATCTCTTGAGAAAAATAGGAATCTCTGGGTCATATTTATATAAATAAATACATGAACAAACATATTAATAAATAACATGGAAGTGAATCACTATACTTAAATTCTAACTAATAATTCTAGGAGGAATAATGAAATTGGAAGAGCAACATTTGACAACTATCATACTAATAAGTGATTCAGGTAAGAATAATAAATGGAAGCTCTGTGCCATCAAATCCCACAGCTGTCGCTGTGTCACCATGGTAACCATGCTTGCCAAAGAAAGCTGAGGAAAAACAACCACCCACTCCAATCTTTCTTTCAATACATGGCAGGAACTGAATAGGACTGATGTGATGTGCAGTAATTAATCGCAAGCATTCTTCACAGTAAACATTCCTGGCAGCTTCAGCAATATACCCATTCATACATACCTATATACCCACATACATACATGTTTTCTCACTGTCTCACCATCCAAGATCCCAGGAATTCACTGAAGGTGGATTTACTGGGGAGTAAAGAAATCCTCACATTTTAACAGATTACTTTCTAACCACACATATAGAGTTGAAAGCTACTAAGCTGTGCTCTTTTTTTTTTTTTTTTTTTTGAGACAGAGTCTCGCTTTGTTGCCCAGGCTAGAGTGAGTGCCATGGCATCAGCCTAGCTCACAGCAACCTCAAACTCCTGGGCTCAGGCAATCCTCCTGCCTCAGCCTCCCAAGTAGCTGGGGCTACAGGCATGCGCCACCATGCCCGGCTAATTTTTTCTATATATATTAGTTGGCCAATTAATTTCTTTCTATTTTTATATAGTAGAGACGGGGTCTCACTCTTGCTCAGGCTGGTTTCGAACTCCTGACCTTGAGCAATCCGCCCACCTCGGCCTCCCAGAGTGCTAGGATTACAGGTGTGAGCCACTGCGCCCGGCCTAAGCTGTGCTCTTTTAATAACTACTTTTCTCTGGAGATGACCTGTAGAATTATCTCTGGAACATTTTTCAAATACTTTTTCCATTTGAAAATAGTGTATGCTTTTTAACCAAAATGAATCTTCAACAACTATTGCTGAATATTTGGCTGCTAACAGTGCAGAGAAAATATATTAGCAATTATATTTTAAAAACAATGTCATTTACAGTAGCTTCAAAAAGTATGAAATGTTTATGGATAATCTGTCTACAGATATATAATGCCTGTACATTAAACACTACAAAACATTGCTGAGAGAATTAAAGAAGACATAAATAAGTGGAGGCATACCGTATTCATAGATCAGAAGATTCAGTATTGTTAAGCTGTCAATTCTTCCCAATCTGATCTATAGATTCAGTGCAAACTCAAACTCAATAAAAATCCTATCAAACTTCTTTCAAAAGAAATTAACATATTGATTCTGAAATTCATGTGGAAATGCAAAGGACCTAGACAATGAAAACAACTTTGAAAAAGAACAAAGCTAGAAACAAACATTATTTGATTTCAAGATTCCTTCCAAATCTACAGTAATCAAGACAGTGTGCTACTGACATTGAAGTAGAAAGGAAGATCAAAGAAACAAAATAAGGAATCCAGAAATAAATCTACACCTATATGGACAACTGATTTTTTACAAAGATGCAAAGGCAAGAAAGGATAGTCTTTTCCAGCTAATTTCTTTCTATTTTTATTAGTGACTGGGTCTCGCTCTTGCTCAGGATGGTCTTGAACTCCTGAGCTCAAATGATCCTCCTGCCTTGGCTTCCCAGAGTGCTAGGATTACAGGTGTGAGCCACTGTGCCCGGTGGAAGGATAGCCTTTTCAACAAATTGTGCTGGGACAAGTGGATATCCATATTCACAAATATAAACTGTAATCCAAATATTGTACCATAACAAAAGTTAATCCAAAATGGAACATAGATCTAAACACGAAACCTAAAACTATAAGACATCTACCAGAAATCGCAGGAGAAAATTCCTGTGACTTTAGGCTAGGTAAAGATTTCATACATGAGACAACAAACCTACAATCCATATGTGAAGAAATCAATAAATTGGACTTCCTCAAAGTTAAAAACTTTGGCTCTTCCAAAGGCATTGCTAAGATAATAAAAAGACGAGCCCCTGGCTGGGAGAACATATTTGAGAATCATTTATCTAGGAAATGATTTATATCTGGAACACAGAAAATCTTACAAAACGCAGTAAGAGGAAATCAGACACTTCAATGAGTAAATAGATAAAAGAGTTAACTTTTATAGTGGCGACTCCACTATAGAAGATATATAAATATCAATTGTGCGTATGAAAAGAAGTTCAACATCATTAATCATTAGGGAAAGAAAACTGAAAACTATACTCAGATACTATTACATTCTGGAAAAATTACCAAATTTAAAAAGACTGGCCACACCAAGCATTGACAAGTTTCTGGAAGATGAAACTCTCATACACTGCTGGTGGCAATGAAAAATGTTACAAATACTCAGAAATAGCTTGGCAGTTTCTTACAATGTTAATCTTACATCTTTCATATGATCCAGCCATTGATCTCTTTAAGTATTTACCCATGAGAAAGAAAGCACATTTCCACGAATAGACTCATTCACAAATGTTCATAGAAGCTTTATTTACAAGAGCCCCAAATTGGAATTAACCATAATGTCCATCAACAAATGAATAAATAATAAAACTTTTGGCATAGCCATATATTGGAATACTCTTCAGCAATCAAAAAACAATGAAATACATCAATAGATACATGCAACAAAATGAATGAATCTAAAAATAAATAGGGTGAATGAAAGAAGCCAGGCTCTGAAAAAAAAAACCAACACCTCTATGATGCCATTTAAATATATTTCTAGGACATTAAAGGTATCTATAGTGACAGACATGCCATGTTTTTCTGGGGACAATGTAGTGGGAAGAGTAGGTAGCCAGGTTATTACAGAACTGAAATCGTGATGTCCTAGGAAATAATAATGATATTTAGGACCATCTGCTTATTTTAGGGCATGTAACTGAGTATCATTATAATAGGGAAAACTATTAATATAAGGCAATTTTTAGTTTTGAAAATACTGAATTCTTGTAACTGAAATTTTGACATTTTAAACTAACACTTGATAAATTCCCGGCTTCTTAGAAAAATTCATTACAAAATGGATAAAAACATGGAAACCATGAAAGAATGCATAATATAATCTCAAATAGCTAGGAGGACCTAACCAACTATAAATCAATATTTGTCTGAGAGATACGTGGGAATCACCGATTATTATTATATTTAAGCAGTCAGAAAAAATATATTTATTGCAAATACATGTTAAACAAGTTCCTTCCCTAAGTGAAAAATTCATAGTTTAATGATAAAATAAGGAATCTCTTAGATGGCTCTCAAGGGCTACCACAAAGCCTATAGCTGCTGATGGGAAGAAATGCTATCTCCTGAACCACTTTTCCAATGAAGAAATCAAAGTAGCTTCTTTACTTTTAGACTATTTTGTGAACCTCATAGGAGCTATTCCACAACATGCTTTGTTCAGATCCATGAACTCACTAGAACCAGGTGTCATATTCCACCAGGATAGAAGTGTTTGGGGGTCTCCTGAGGACTGCTTCCCTTCAAATCTGGGGAAGCTTCAGCAGCCATCATGACCCAAATCCTTAGTACTCACCTCTTTCAGACACCTGATATAAGTTCAGTCACCTTCAGGAAGAGCTACCTGGGGAGAGATAGAATCATGCAATCACTGTGCTTTTTTGGAGTAACTATGTGCTCAGCAGCATATTAAGTACTGGGTCAGTGACTAATGAGACTGAAACAATTGGGTGGTACTCACAAGAAAATATGAGTTTCTCACCAGGGTCTTTTTCTTCTACTTTCCTTGTCTATCCACTAAAAACAAATTTGAAAATGTATAAGTGGCCTGAATTCATACAGACATTCATGATCCCACAATAAAGAGCCATGGGCTTGCACAGGTGTTGTCACTGAAGGTCCCAGCAATCCTGTGGTGAGCATTCTTACGCCCATTTTACAGAGGGGGAAGCTGGCCTCAAAGAGAGTTGTTACCTGTGTCATCCTCCCGCACCCGACTTTACATGGAAAGTAGCTCCAGGACACCCTGGAGCAGGACGCCACCCTCAGTGGGGCCAGGAAGGTCCCACATCTCTTCCTCACGAGACAGCGGGACGCTGAGTCTTAAAGCAGGAACGAAGCGACTTGGACCTGGTAGTCTCCCCACACCCTAGTGAGTTTCAGCCCCTGCCGTGGGGCACCCATCCGCTCAGCTAAATCCAAATGCCTGAAAGTAAGACTCTGCTCTTCTCACCAGGCCATGTAGGTTTCTGTCAAAAAGCCATCATAGTCGCCATTATGACTTCAGGTTTCTATGGCAACCACAAGGCTTGTCCTTCACACTGGAAATGAATACCTCTGCACAGCGCTCTGTCGCCTTGCCTTTCCCAGAAAACAAAACACCTTCATTTTTCAGGCCACCACCTGAGAAAACTTACTAAAAACAGAAACTAAACTGGGAGCCAGGCAACTGGTGGAACTCTGCCCAGAGAGGCCAGAAATGTTTTGGTCCTGTATGTCCAGCCACATGGAAAAAAATGACTGGAATGGGGGCAGAGGGGTAAAAACTTTGTCAAGGAAACCATTGTATGGTTCAATTGACTAGGTTCCTGCCTACTAAATAACAATTTTATTCTAGGTCTGCTTCCCCAAAATAATTCTGAGATATCTTAATGTCATTTTTTGGTGTTCTTAGATCATTTAGTCACAGAATTATAGACAGTCTCTTAGTTTTCTGCCACAGATGACTAACTGCCTATCATGGAGTGTGAGTTTTACATGTGTCCCCTCAGAGGGCTAGCTCATCTCCAAGAGCCCTAGGATAACTCCCCTGGGTCTCTGTGTGCTGATGATATTCCCCTAAGGTCACTTTTAAAGCAAACAAAATTCCAGATAACACAGGCTTTTGTCCTCTATCATACCAGGCAGACTAAGAGACTGTCCACAGTCATATGACTAAATGATCTAGGAACACCAAAAAATGACATTTAAGATATCTCAGAGTTGGCCAGGTGCGGTGGCTCACGCCTGTAATCCTAGCTCTCTGGGAGGCCGAGGCAGGTGGATTGCTCGAGGTCAGGAGTTCAAAACCAGCTTGAGCAAGAGCAAGACTCCGTCTCTACTATAAATAGAAAGAAATTAATTGGCCAACTGATATATATATATAAAAATTAGCCGGGCATGGTGGCGCATGCCTGTACTCCCAGCTACGCGGGAGGCTGAGGCAGGAGGATTGCTTGAGCCCAGGAGTTTGAGGTTGCTGTGAGCTAGGCTGACGCCACGGACTCACTCTAGCCTGGACAACAAACCAAGACTCTGTCTCAAAAAAAAAAAAAAAAGATATCTCAGAGTTATTTCAGAGTGATAGTTAATTTTATATGTCAATTTGACTGGGGCATGGTGCCCAGCTATCTCTTCAAACATTATTCTGGACGTTTCTCTGAAGGTGTTTTTGGATCAAATTAAAATTTAAATCATTAGACAATTGTGTAAAGCAGATTGCTGTCTATAATGTGAGTAGGCCTTATTTAATCAGTTGGAAGTCTGAATGGAAAAAAAGACGGGTGTCCCCTGAGGAAAAAGGAATTCTACTGGCAGATGGCCTTCAAATTTAAACTGCAATGTCAGTTCTTCCCTGGTCTCCAGTGTGCAAACACACCTTATAGATTTGGGACTTCTGGCCTCCATGATAGTGCTAGCCAATGCCTGAAATAAACCAATCTTTCTCTCTTCCCTCTCATTAGATAGATGATAGATGGATAGAGAGATAGATAGATGCACACCCTATTAAATGTGTGTCTGTGGATGCAGCATGCAATATTATTGTGTTTATCTGAATTCAATGGATGTCTTGTAATTTTATTTGCTAAATCTGGCAACCCTGGGGGAGGAACCTTTAGATATTTAATTTTGAGGCAATGACATTTCCAGTGAGGCAAGTCTGGGGAAAATCAGATCAGGTTCACATAAAGGACAAAAGCTGATAACATCTAGAGTTAATGGGATAAAGGAAGAACAGACTTTCATATCCACTGTTGGTGCCAAGTGGATATATCCATTTTCTGAGGCACATATTATTATAGATTAATAACCTGAATGGCCTTTGATACAGAAGTCCTATTTCCACTAATAAGGAAGTTTCTGGTGAGGGCTCAAAAAAGTCTTATCAAGGTGACGCTGATGTGCATCCTGGTGAAGGGGCCCTGGCTGAAGGGACAGGTTAAGCTGCCACATAAACTCCTTAGTCCAGGGAGGAAAGACAGCTACCATTTATGAAGTAGATTGTTTAGAGGGGTTTAGCTCTGGGTTCTTCACATTCGTTTCTGGATTTAATTTCATGACAACCCTGCTGGTGAGGAATCAAAATCTTTTCTTCATGGATGTATGTGACTACAAAGCACAAACTCTTCACCACGGAGACAGATGGCAAAGAGTTTACTCACCACACACACTTCCAGGGCCAGAGATAGAACCTGCCAGCCTGGGCATCTTGAATTGCTGGTGGCAGATCTTTAGCAAATTTTTCAGGACACATATTGTCGAGGAGGTTAATCTCTGTTCACCCTGTGTATACTCTACCTTCATTTCCTGTAAGGAGTCAGGCTTGGTGCCCCTTCCCCTTGCCTCAGGGGAGGTTTATGGCAAGAGTAAAATCAGAAGTTGTTGGAAGTTAGAATTTCTTCTGTACTTTGGAAAAAAGTTCAATTTATGGAAAGGATTGGATTGCTTAGAACTGTCAGGGAAAGGGGAGCCTGGGAGGACACAGAGAGGGGAGAGGGAGGGATATTTCTCCCAGATGCAGACTAAATTGGAGGGCTATATTTCTTTACAAGGGTAGGGACCTGAGCACTGCTTCAGATCAATGCTTGGGGGTTGGGGGAGGAATCCTTGTATGGTTCATCAAGGTTGGGCTTTGAGCTATGAGACAGATTTTCCTGTTTGGGCAGCAGGATGGATGGAGCCAGATTAGGGGTCCTGAAGACAATGAACCAGCTAGAGAAATGGTCAGCTCAGCCCTGAGCAATGGGGACACTTGAGTTATGATGACAGGGGCCTCCCCAGGCTGTATCTGGAGGAGAAATCACCACAAGTGGAACTGCTTTGCCAAAGAGCATGAGCATTTAATATTTTTAATAATTACTATCTATTTGAAATTCAAAATGTCTTTACTAATGTACATCCCAATCAACTACAAGGTAAGAACTCCTATTTTTCTAAATCTGGACAATAATGAGTTTCCTGATGTTATTATTATTGCTAATGAAATATCCTATTGTTGGAATGTTAGATTATTCTTCATTTTTCTCCATCTTTTTCCATATAAATGGCATATTTCACATGTGCATTTCTAAATGCACACATAGATACTTCATCTCTCAGGATACAGGATATATCTTTGAATAATACTAGAGTTTGACAAGAAAACCTGATCAGTGAGTTTGTACTTATACTGTGTCCAGTTTAAATTGAAATTGTGGCATCATAAGAACTCCACACACTGCTGGGGGAGGACAAAGTGGCACAGAGTGTTTTTGCAGACACTAGGCAACATCTATGGGAGTAGCAAGTGAGGCCGTGTCAGCTGCTGCCCTGTCAGGTCGCCCTTGCAGAGTCTCGGGCAAGTGTGCAAGCCTGGTCACAGCAGCATGGCTAAATATCAACACAGCCCCAAAGTCACCTAGTTAGCGAAAACTCAAACACTATTTTAAAAGAAAAAAATTGAATACCTGCGATATAAATATATCACTTATATAGTTATAGTTTAAAATATGCATAGTAGTTATGTTTTTTGTTTAAGGATGTATCCCTGAGTAGTAAATGTGGAGCAAAGCATGAGAATGATAAAACAAATTTTGGATAATGGTTCCCTCTAGAGTAACAGAGAAGTTACCCAGGGGCATCCATTCTGTAATGTTTTACTTTGTAACCTTGGTTGTGTATATGTTAGCCTATCATGATATTTACTATACTTTTTAAAATGTTTGAAAGCTAACATATTTGACATGAATAAATCTTTAATGGGCTTTATCTATGATTAATAAATAGCCCATCGCCCATTTAGAAAATGTGGAGAATGCGTTCAAATAGCAATATGAGTATATTCATAACCTTCTACCCCACCAACCACTAGTAAAGCTGTAATCATGGTGGTGTATTCACTCTGAATATCTACACACACACGTGCACAAACACATTGTGAATGCATCTAATATAGATCTGACTTAACTAGAATATATTAATTTTCTATATGTGTGTAACCATCAATTTAGTGTCTGGAAGCTATACTCATTCATTAGCTCATAGGTCTGTAGGCCAAAAGTGTGGCACAGCATGCATGACCTTATCTTCTGCTCAGGGTGTCACAGGGATGGAATCAAAGTGATGCTGTGCCCTGGCCTGAGGTCTTGTCTGGAATCCCTGGGGAAAATCCACTTCCAAGATCACTTTTGTTGATGCCAGAAGTAATTTCCTCATGGCTATTGGACTGTTTGGCTGTTGGGCTGTTGGCTGTTGTCCCTGTTTCTTTGATGGCTGTCCTCTAGGGGTATTCTCAGCTCCTAGGGGCTAGTTCACATCCTTGCCACGTGGCCTTCTTCTTCCAGCAATAGTGTGATGAAGGTTCACTTCCCTATGCTTTGAATCTGCCTTCCCCTCCTCTGAACAGTCAGAGAAAATTCTCTGTTTTTAAAGGACTTGACTGATTAGGTCAGGCCCACTTAGATAGTCTCCCTTTTGCCAATAACGTAACATAATCATGGAAGTAATATCTCAGCATATTCACTGGTTCCACCCATGCTAGAAGATGAAGGGATTACATGAGAGTGAGCATCATTGGAAGTCATCTTAGAATTCTGCCTGCTACATGAAGATGCACACCAAAATAAAAATTCCTGTAAACTTTAACAGTGATATCTAGGTTTAAACTACATTTTCTAAGATAAAGCTCAGGCCACTGTAATAGGGCATCATAGTGCTAGGATAAGCCAGCGCAGGGGAAGTGACTCACCCAAAGTCCTGTAGTCTGAGATATGTCTGGCCTCTTGACTCCAGTCTTCTGTCCAACATCCATGTCATCTTGCCCTGTACTGTCTCTTCCACCTTGGGATCAATGGAAAACTGCTCCTCAAAGTAGATGGTAAACTAAAGGGACAGGGAGGCGATGAAGTCATAGGAAATGGTGTGGTGACTTTCTTCCTTTTCCCTTCTCCCACCTATAACTCATCCCATAACTCAGAACTGGCCCAAATCTCATAGGGTATGGGGGTATATTTCAGGTCTTGCTGTTATCTTTTCAGATGCTCTCTATGCAGTGACGCTGTTCGGTTTAATCAATGTCATCTCTCTGGGAGGGAAGAGGCAGGTGGGCCAGGACTGATATGTGTTGAAGTTCTACTACATCCCATAGGAACTTTACAGGTTTTTACCTCTCAAGACAGCACTGTGAAGAAGGTATTATGAGTTCCATTTCACAGATGACCAAGATCCAGCTCACAGAGGCTAAGAACCTTTCCAGATAAGTTTCAGGATTGGAATATGGTTCCATCTCTTGCCCTCCTCACAATATAACCAGCATCTTC